CCTCAGCTTCTCCAAGACCTGCCTGAGATGACCCTGATGCTCTTCAAGGGTCCGGCTAAACACTAGGATGTCATCTAGGTAAACTACAACAAATCTGTCTAACCACGGCCTAAACAAATCGTTCATACAGCGCTGGAACGTAGCTGGCGCATTGGTTAGTCCAAAGGGCATCACTATAAACTCGTAATGCCCGTACCTAGTCCGGAAGGCTGTCTTATACTGATCATCAGGGTGAACCTCTATCTGATGATATCCGGACTTTAAATCTATCTTAGAGAAATACTTGGCCCCCTGCACTCGGTCTAAGAGATCGTCTATCCTCGACAGTGGCTCAACATTTTTCACTGTAATAGCATTCAGACCCCTATAGTCTATGCACATTCTCAGCTCTCCCTCTTTCTTAGGAACAAAGAGGACAGGTGCTCCGAAAGGAGACGAACTGGGCCTAACTCGTCTAACTGCTTGCGAAGCTCCTCTAACTCCCGCGGGGACATCCTATACACAGCACCCTTAGGAGTCCTACTGCCAGGCTCTATCTCAATACGGTGCTGGATGGGCCGCGGCACCGTGCCTGTCGGCGGCTCAGTCAAATCCTTAAACTCTTCCAGCAGCTTGGCAATCGTGGGGTCCATCGGCTTCTCCTCCGTAGGCTCAGTCACTGACCTAACATAGGCCACAAAGACCTGTTCCTCCAATCCCTCCTTCTTCACCAGTCTGGCGAATGCGGGGGCACTAAGGCAGCAGTGCGCCAAGGAATTCTCTACACCTGACACATGGAACAGGCGGGCAGTTTTGGCCTCGCCTGACGAACTAGGGAGCCTACACTCGTGCTCCTTCAAATGGAGCGTGGCCCCGACTGCCTCTCCCCAATCCATTCCCAGAACAATATCAAAGGGGAGGCTGTCTTCTACGAGGAGAGTCAGGGAGTGGAGAATCTCTTCCACTTTCCCATCTTTCTCTAGGCGGAAATACGCCTGGACTCCCTCTACGTAATCCTCTACAACCATAGTGCGATTGTCCGCGAGGATACTAACTATGGGGTCTGTCAGTTTCTGGACTTTAAGTCCCAGCCTCAACTTTTGCAGCGCTTTCCTACTAATATAGCTGCGAGTGGCCCCTGAGTCTACTAGGGCCCCTACTCTACTTCCAAAAATCTCTGTATCTAGCAACATAAGCTGCCCTTTATTCTCCTTCTTCATCTTGGCCCAGGTGGGCATCCTCTCCTTCAACTCTTCGGCCACGCCTGTGAGGGAGGTGTCTAGTGAAACTCTAACACAAGCAGTTTCGAGACAACTGTCTAGACACCGGCCTGCAACCTCTGCCGTAGGCACATGTGGTGTGGGAGTCTCCTGCCGGCTAGCGCTATTTTCCCCACATGGCCTAGTGGTAGGGGCAGTTGCTACCCCTACCGGCGGCTGCCTTTTGGCCCTTGGGCAGCCGTTCGGGTCTCTCTATACTTGGGACAATATTTGATGATATGGCCCGGGTCACCGCAGAAAATGCACTGGCCTCGGTCCAATCGTTTTTGCCATAAGTCCTGGTCCAGACCCAAAGATTCCCAAGGCCTACCCTGAGGTAGCCCTGGGTGCCATCCTCCTATTCTATAGGGAGCCCTATTCCAAGGACGGTTTTGCGGGGGACCTTGACCCCTGCCTCCCGCTTGGCGGTTTCCTCCTCTGACGCCAACCCCCTGATCGCCCTGAAATCGGTTCCTTGAGGCCCGGCCCCCTTGGCCCTGGCCCCTTCCTCCTTGCGGCCTCCCTCCAGCCGCGACAGCAGCGTAGGATCTCCCCTGGCCCACACCACTGTCCTCCGCCTCTAGCCCCCACTCAATCTGATCGTAGGGGATCTCATCCACACTACCYTCATCTAAAGTCAGGACAAGGYTGTCCTTAGTCTTTACCTGCCCTGAGATAGTGCGACCTTTCCATTGCTTTCCCCTGTCCAAGTCCTTGTGCCAGAAGGTAGACAGGGACACGGACTTCGCTTCAAAAGCCACCACTTCACGGCTAAGGGAATCGTAAGTGGTGGCAGGATCTTTGCTCTTTGCGAAGAACTGCCCTCGAAAGGCTTCGGGCATAGCTCGGTAAAAGAGGTTGACCAATTGGCCCTCTGTGACCCCGTGGTTAGGGACGGCCACCAACTCATCCATTGTACCCTTGAGTGCCCTGACACTCTTCCATTTACGAGAATGGATGGTTTGGAGCTTGTCTGAGGCCTTGACACTGCGAGCGACATCAACAAATCGCTCGCGCAGCAACTTCAGGAATYCAGTGAGGGACGTAAATGAGGAGTACGCAACGGGATCATCACTACAGTTGGCAGYGCGAACTAGGGACCTTGCAAAACTGGCGGCCTCATCTCTCAGCGCGTGGATCGCAATCAGAACCTGCTGATCCGGGGAGACCTGTTGCAAGTGCACATAGGTCTTAACGTTAGCTTCCCAGTTGTCAAAGTTCTCATCCCTTTTTCCACTGTAGGAATCAGGGAATTTGACCTTGACTGGTTCCCGACGAGGAGGACGTGCTTCCTCCTCCTTGGGGGCTGCCGCCTTGACGCCCTCAATGGCGCTWGCACAGAACCGCTCGGTCTTGTCGAGGCGGTGGCCCACCTCGGTTCCTACAGGGCCTACCAGCTTGCGCGCAAATTCCCGAAACCCCAACTTTATTGAACGCACAACTATATGCTRACTCCTACTGAAGTCATATTGCTCCCCCTGAATTCGTGCGAGGCGTGCAACATTTCGAGCTATGACTCGCATTTGGGCCGGGAGTTCAGTCTGGGCAGCTAGTTGCTCCTCTATCCTTTTTACTTCCTCTAATTCTTCTGTCGCCTCCGCCGCCGCGTCCACTCTCCTTTTCTTCTCCCTCATCACTGCCAATCTCCATTCCATCCTCTTTTCATCTTCCATCGCCTGCCGCTTCACATCTTTTTCTGCTTCCCAAGCTTTCATAGAGGCTTCCTGATCATCCTGGGGTATGTACATTGCCACTTCTTCTTCTTCTCCCAYAGACAGGTTGGCAACCCATTCGGATATCCTTTTCTCCATGTCCCCACCATTGCTGCCACTATGCTGCCCACTACTCTTTTGTAGTGGCGGACCTTCCTCTTCTTCATCCACCTCCTTCAGCTTCTCTTCTTCTTCCTTTTTCAGCCTCTCTTTCTCCCTGGCCATCTCTTCCTCCATCTTCTTCAATTTGGCCGCCTGTTCCTCTTTCAAGGCCTTCTTCTTGGCCTCCTTCTCCTTTCTCTCCTGCAGGATGGCGGCCATCTTCTCCTCCTCCTCCTTCGTGTATGGCTGGGTGGCAGTACCACCACGAGTGGGCCCTACTCTACGCGCAAAGGTGGGCCAGAAGCCCAACGGAAAGAGGAGACGCCAGAGGGTTCCCCAGAGGGAGAACCCAACAAGTAGCCCATACATCGGATAGTCATCCATCGTGGTGTTGGTGCACGACAAGGGTCCCACTCCTCACCACGTAGACCTACCCGGACACACTGACCTACTGACTGACTCTCTAAGGACCACAGGGTTAGACCCTGTCAACGATGGTCACTAACCCAAGACTACTCGAAGGCTGTCACTATAGAACCAGCAACTGATCTGGAGGCATTTAAGGAGATCCCCCGTAACTCCTCAAGAATTCTTTAACGTCGCAGACAGGACGACGTGATCAGCTTGGTCCTTCCTGGCGATTTCAGCCCACAACTCAGCCGTTCCGGCCTACTGTGCCACACCGAGCAGCCCGCCGGTCTGTACCGGTCTTTGGAGGGGTTCGTATCCCTCGGGACAGTCGAGTCGTCAGACACAGATCATCAGCCTTACTAGGTCCGGTAGGGGAGTGGCTCAACCAGGCCTCA